GCGGAGCTCGCTCCACTAGAAGGGAAGGCAGGGCGGGCCACACCCGGAGGAGCGCCTGTTCCTCGGGGATGCGACGAAGGGAAGAGTTGCGGCGGGGAAGACAGGCTGGTGGACAACCAGGAAGATGAAGGGACTGGAGCCTCAAACATACGATGAGCGGTTGCAGGAACCGGGCGTGGCGAAGAAGAGAAGGACCAGGGGACACAGGAGAGCAGCCTTCCAATGTCTGAGGGGCTGCCCCAGGGAGAAGGAAGGGGTCAAGCTATTCTCCAAGGCACCGGAAAGGCAAACAAGGAACAATGGATGGAAACTGATCCAGGAGAGATTCAACCTGGAAATAAGGAGGAATTTCCTGACAGGGAGAGCAATCAACCCATGGAAGAGAAGTTGCCTTCGGAAGTTGTGGGAGCTTCATGACTGGAGGCCTTCAAGCAGAGACTGGACTGCCACTTGTCAGAAATGGTGTAGGGTCTCCTGCTTGGGTAGTGGTGGGGTGTTGGACCAGGTGACCTACAAGATCCCTTCCACCTCTGTTAATCGAATCGGATGTTGCCCCCTGTCACTGTCCCACCAGCAACGGCAACTCCTCTTTTTGTCTAGGTCTGTAGCCCCCTGATCTCCAGCAGCTTTAAGTCGGGGCTTTATCCACATGGCAACCTGTGAACCCTTGCTGGGCATGGCCTGCCCGGAGAGAAGCGCTGCCCCCCTGCCTGCCCAGGGTCCTTCCAGGCAAGTCCCCTGAAGGGCCTGCTGAGTGGGCAGCTGGATGGGCTCCAACCAGCCTGGAGCACCGAGGTTAAGTCTTCAGAAAGAGCGGATTTACTATATTTATTATAATAAATGTTTGTATATGATATCATATAAATGTTATATTTGTTATTTTAACACCCAGGTTTCTTGAGCGTAGAGCTCAGATTAAGAGAAGTCACAGAATGATGCTGTAGCAAATGCTTCCACTTCCTCCCCTCCAGTGGTTGTGCCTTCAGTGCAACCGCTGTTTGTCATGGGGCTATTTTTACAAGGGAAATGTTAACCTCCCAATCTTCTGCGATGTAAATATGGAAAGGAACATTGAGCTGTCAACCTCCCACCCCCAGGAAACACTCCCGCTGACTGTGGAGGAAGATGAAGGAAGGGCTGAGTTCCCACGGCCCCAGCTGGGCACGATGCTGGAGGCAAAGGGGGTCTTTTCCCAGCAGTCCGAGCCCTGAGATCACCTGTGTCCCAACAGCCACACTGTCCAGCCCCATTGCTGATGCCCGGTGCTGTGGGCCCACGCTTCACCTTCCAGCAGGTTGACTCAGCCTTCCATCCTTCCGAGGTCGGTAAAAGGATTGTTGGGGGCAATAGGCTGAGTCTGTAAACCACTCAGAGAGAGCTGTGAAGCACTGTAAAGCGGTATATAAGTCTAAGTGCTATTGGTACTCAACTGTTTAACGTCTTTATCCATCAGAGATTTCTAAATCTCCAGTAATTACTGAAATAGGAATGGGGAATAACTCACCCACTTTGGTTTGCCTGACCAACAGAGCAATGTGGGCAGAAACTCTCCCCCCCCCCTTTTCCATTTATTTATTTAGTTATTGAATTTATATTGGCGACTCAAAGCGGCTTACAGAACGTAAAACCATATTTAAAATAAAAACTAACAAAAAGAATCAAGTAAATTAATAAAGTACAATAGAACAAAAGCTGGAAAAAAATAAAAATAAAAATCACCCCCAACTCCCACCCACCCGCCCCAGCAGATCACCCGAGCCATTTGATGGACTCCATCCCACTCTGGGTTCCCCAGGCCCGCTGGCAGAACCAGGTCTTCTTCAGTGCCTTCTGGAAGAGTATTAGAGTGGGGGCCATTCTAATCTCTGGGGGGATGATGTTCCAGAGAGAGGGAGCCACCACGGAGAAGGCCCTTCCTTCTGGGTCTCGCCAGGTGTATCCTTAGGGGACGGGACCCACAGCATTCCTTGCCTCCCCACTCTAATGGGTCATGTAGACGGTTATCCCTATTTCACCTGGTCCCAAGCCATGAAGGGCTTTAAAGGGGACAACCAGCACCTTGAATTGCCCCCGGAAGCAAATCGGCAACCAATGCAGCTCCCGCAGGAGAGGTGACACGTGCACACCGCAGTCTGCACAAAACCATGCGGGCCGCTGCATTTTGCACCAACTGGAGCTTCCAAATGTTCTTCAAGGGCAGCCCCATGTATAGAGTGCATTGCAATAATCAGGACGGGAAGTGACCAGGGCATGAGTGACCGTGAGTAGGGACCGCTGGTCCAGGAAAGGGTGTAATTGACGCACAACCCGCAGTTGCACAAAGGCCCTCCTGGCTACGACCACCACCTGCTCTTCTAGCCGGAGTCACGAGTCCAGGAGAACCCCCAGATTACGCACAGGGTCCAAGACCAAAGATGACAATTCTCCCTGAGCCAACGAACCCCAAACGCAGGGCCACTCGGTCTTTCCAGGGTTTAGTTTCAACCCGTTGCTCCCCATCCAGCCCCTTTTCTTATCCCTTCCCCAAGAAATGGGACTGTGAGACAGCCCAGATTTTCATCCGTTTCCTGGAGAAGGAATGTTTTAAACTCATTTAAAAGGAAACATAAGAATCTGCCACTGGTGGGAGGAAAGTTCTATTTTGCCTTTTTCTGTATATTTTATATACAGAATATAGCTGTATATTTTTCTATATGTTTGTAGATTGGGTTTGTCTGTAAACCATGAGGTATGCCCATTCACAGATGCCCGGTGAAATTCCTAGAGACTATATAAGCTCCTACTTATTTCTGTTCTCAGGTTTGCTTGTGTTCATGTGTTCATTGTGTTTCCTTCTCTTAGCATTCTTCAGTATACAAGTAGGGAAGCAACTTCTTTTTCCCAATGACACCTTTTCTACCCCATATCCTTGGACTTTCCCAATTCTGCCTGCAAATGGTTCACCTTAAAATGCCTCATTCTATCTCTCCATCTCTTCTCCTTCAGCCTTCATTCAATCTGCAAACACTCGTCTTTATTCCTCACCTCCTACCTTTGATTACTCCAGATTCCCACTGAAGGGAAAAGGTACCACCAAGTATAGCAGTTAACCCGAATCTGAATGATTCTCCACTACAGCTAAAGGAACATCTTTCTTGTAAACTTGCCTGTGGAGCTTTTGAAGTCCCTTGCCATTGAAAAGAAAGTAGCCAGTTATACAGTAAAGGAGTGGGGACAATTTGGTATTTGCAGTGAAAAGACTAAACACTTTTCAGTAATTAAGTAATGCATTTCAAATAGTTTCTTTTTGCGATTTGTAGGAGGGGTTGGGCATTTTCAGTTATTCTATAATAAGTGATCTCTAAGCCATTCCCTGCCTTCTTCCTTCATCCAACCTCCATGTCTTTCTGTCTATGGAGATTCTTAGTCATCCTGGACATGGTTGTCCCATAGATGCTTCTTCAAAAGGCAACTGGACTTTGTTTGCCCTTGAAGATGTTTCACCTCTCATCAAGAAGCTTCTTCAGTTCTGACTGAATGGTGGAAGATGGAAGAATGACCACAAGGAATATAAATCCTTTCATTCTCCACCCTTCGGTCAGAACTGAAGAAGCTTCTTGGATGAGAAGCATCTTCAACAAAAAACAAAGTCCAGTTGCCTTTTGGAGGAGCACCTTTGGGACTCCACGTCTTTCCTTAAGTTCCTTCTCCACTGCAAGCCTGGATAGAAGGTGAGAGCTGAGGGATCCCTGGTTTTCCTGCAAACCTTTGGTTACCCTAACTAGGTGACATCATCAGAGTTTTCATCTGCTGAAGGTGGTCTGATACGGGAGCAAAGGGGAAAGGTGGGAAAAGGTTTAGGGGGGGCAACATTTTATAGAGCTTCCAGGGAGTGATAGAGTCTACCCGAAATAAAATGAATTTGTTTTTTACATCTTTTGTCTCTGGAAGCAATCCAGGAAATAAATACATTCTCATGTCCCAGCTTTGAAAGATCTTATTCTGGAAATTATTAAGAAACTGGAAATAGCTTTGCAGCTCAAGTAATGGTCAATCCAGGTTTTGCCTGTGGGTTATGTACTTTATGTAATATCTGGCCATAATATGGGACCCTGCTTTGTAGTTTTGCTAAGTTCTTCTCATTTATCTTCCCTAAATATTAGCCTAGCAGCCTCATCTTATGAAGAAGTGAGCCTTCTTAAGGCTGGGGCTAGTTTCAACTGTGCAATTAAATCTGGGACCTTTCCCATTCCCTGCACTGGAAATTCCCCTCTGGGAGCTCAGAATCTCCCCCTCCCCCACAGCCGCCTCTTCCACGCCGTCCATCAGGTGCACCAGATCGTGCCCTCCCTACAAGTCGTGGCTCACAAGGACGCGAACCTGGCGGCGCGCTGCCTCTTCCCTTCCCGGCTTCGATCGCGAGGCGGCGGGGGCGGGGGGGCCGGGCTGGGCGCCGCTTGGCTGCCCTGCAACCGCCCGGCCGGAGGGGGCGCCCGCGGCAGGCCAGACCCGGAAGCGGCCCAGCGGCAGGGAGGCGGTCCCGCGGGGTCACGTGGCCCCGGCGGCGCCCAATCGGCCGGGCGTCCGCCTGGGGCCGGGCTCGTCATGGCCGCCATGCCGTTCGGGGCCGCGGGCGCCGCAGAGGAGCCGGCTCAGCCGTCCGGCTCAGCTTTGCCCGCGGGCAGCCTGGGCGCGGCCGATGCCTTCCCCAAAGACTTCGGCTACGGCGCCGACGAGGACGAGGCGGGCGAGGAGGACGGGGCCGAGCTGGCGGGGGGAGGCGGCGGGGGCGGCGGGATCGGCCTTGCGGGACCCGGCGGCGGCGGCGGCGGCGGCGTGCTGGGGGCCGGCGGGGGCGACTCCTCCAAGCAGCCCCGCATCCTGCTGATGGGGCTGCGGCGCAGCGGGAAGTCCTCCATCCAGAAGGTGCCGTGGGGCGGCGGAGCGGCGGGCGGGGGGGGGGCGGCGGGGGGGGGGCCGGCCTGAGCCGCCCGTCTGTTGCGCGCCCGGCAGGTGGTCTTCCACAAGATGTCCCCCAACGAGACGCTCTTCCTGGAGAGCACCACCAAGATCCACAAGGACGACGTCTCCAGCAGCTCCTTCGTCAACTTCCAGATCTGGGACTTCCCCGGCCAGATGGACTTCTTCGACCCCGCCTTCGACTACGAGCTCATCTTCCGAGGCACCGGGGCGCTCATCTACGTCATTGACGCGCAGGTGGGCGAGGAGAGGCTCCCCCGGCCGAGCCCGGTGTGAAGGGACCGCGGGTGGGGGTGACGGCGCGATGAAGGGCCGCGGTTTGCCTGGGTCCTCCCCACCCGGGTCCGGAAAGGACCGAAGGGCCGGAGCTGCTCTGGGGGGTCCCGGGCAGGCCCAAGGTATGCAGGGGCGCCCGGAGCAGCCTGGCTGGGCGTTCACGGGGCCTGGGGAACCAAGCGCCTCTGGCAGAAACGGCTCCGCTTCTTCTCTGTTGCAGGACGACTACATGGAAGCACTAACCAGGCTCCACATTACGGTTTCCAAAGCCTACAAAATCAACCCAGAAATGAACTTTGAAGTTTTCATTCACAAAGTGGATGGCTTATCGGACGACCATAAGATTGAAACCCAGAGGGACATCCACCAGAGAGCCAATGACGACCTGGCCGATGCCGGCTTAGAGAAACTGCACCTGAGGCAAGTGAACCGCCTGGAGTTGCTCACAGCGGCTGCTCCTAATTGGAAGCTGGGCTCAGAGGCCGGAGCAGCCGAGGTTTCCAAAACACCTCAGCAGCACAGAGACAGCTCTCAGGAAAGAAATGCTGGTTGGCTGTAGACACGACACGGTTCCAGAAGTGGCTGCCGTTTTTCCCTGGCCCGGAAGGGGCCCCCTGTTGCAGGAAATGCTGCATTTTGCGGCCTTAACAAGGTCTGAAAGCTGCAGAAACCACGGTGCAATCTGCCGTAAGCAGCAAAATGGCACAACTTGTTCCCGGCTGCACGATGGCAACCCGAATGTGGCCACCATATTGTGTCACACAGAAAGTGGCAGCAGCTTCCAGAATTGTGCCGTGCAGCCGCGCAATAAGGCAATCCATCCCAGAGGAGGAGGGTGTTTGGGCTGCTGGGTGGGAATCAGCCCTGTGGAGACCCGGTGGGAGTGGGGAAAGGCCTGTGAGGCCAGGGGTCAGAAGTAGAGCATGGGGCATCCAGGTGGTGATGGAGGAGGCCTTGGGAGGGACAGGGCAGGCGGGCTGGGCCTCTGCTCAGCTTCCAAGGGCCTTCCCCATGCCTGAGGCACCTCATGCTCCACTCAATGACCTGCACGCTGGTTTAACGATCCAGCACTAATTTTTGGGTGGGGAAGGGAACAGCCCAAACCGAGAATATACTTTTTCTGAATCTGAAATGCTGTCCCAGATAGCAATTCTACTTTTTCTCATCTAGTATTTTTCTGATTTTATCGTTTTCTTAATTTCTGAAAACTGAAATTTGGTTCATCTTGAAACAAAGTTCTTTCCTCTTTCACACGTTAGTCCATTTCTTGACTTGGTATAAATACAGATTGTTTATTTACATATTAACCAGTTTATTAATTGGTTAATTGAAATGAAACTGTTAGTGGAGATTTTATAATCTTTTTTTTCCAGTGCCTACTTTTTCAGAGACAAGCACTAACCAGTATATTTGATTAGGGTTTAATGTGCCATGCAGATCCAGGTTGTTTCAGTAAATCATAACTGTACTAGATAATCGTGAGTCACATAGACAAAAGAAAACAGATTCCAGTTGGGAAATGATATCAGTGGTATTAGTTTGGCCAAAACAGCAGGTAACATTTGAAACCAGGTAACTAATTAGAGTTCTTCTTTTTTTTCTTTTTTTCTTTTTTTAGCTTTTATTTGACCAGCATCTATGATCACTCAATATTTGAGGCCTTCAGTAAGGTGGTGCAGAAGCTCATTCCACAGCTGCCCACTTTGGAAAACTTGCTGAATATCTTTATATCAGTAAGTAGCAGTTAATTACTCCACATTTTGGAAGGGTGAATAATGTGGTGAAAGTTAGCAAATGAGTGGTTTTCATTTAGGAGATGGTGAAATTGACACCAAGAGATTTTGGGGAAAACTGTTGCCTTCAAAGCAGAGGTGGGTTGGAGACTGCTTAATCTTGCTGTCAGACCTACCTCAATCTCAATCAGCTCTTTTAAAGTTTAAGACACTGGCTGGATTATGTTCTATCGCTCGAGTTTGCATTATATTGAATTCCAAAATGATGCGGTCACTCTCGCCTAAATGTCCGTCAGCTTCAACTCCCTCTGTCACTTCTTCTCTATTAGTAAGAATTAGGTCCAAGTATAGCTTTTCCTCTAGTTCCCTCCTCTACCTTTTGGAGGACAAAGTTGTCAGCTAAGTTTTTTAATTTATTTTATTTATTTATTTTATTTGGTTTGTCAATTGCTTACAAGATAATAGGTATAAGTAAAAACATAGTTATGAATACATAAGAAACAATAGGACAGGGATGGTAGGCACGTTGGTGCGCTTATGCACGCCCCCTACAGACCTCTTAGGAAAGGGGTGAGGTCAATCGTAGACAGTCTAAGGTTAAAGTTTTTGGGGTTTGGGGAAGAAACCACAGAGTCAGGTAGAGTATTCCAGACACTGACCACTCTGTTGCTGAAGTCGTATTTCCTGCAATCAGGTTTGGTGTGGTTAACCTTGAGTTTGTATCTATTGTTTGCTCTTGTGTTGTTGTGGTTGAAGCTGAAGTATTCATTGACAGGTAGGACATTGCAATGTATGATTTTATATACTACACTTAGATCGCACCGAAGGTGGCGTAGTTCTAGGTTTTCTAGGTCTAGAATTTCAAGTCTGGTGGCATAAGATATTCTGCAACGAGTAGAGGAGTGGAGAACTCTTCTTGTGAAATATTTCTGGACTTTCTCAAGTTGGTTAGGAATTTGTTTGATCTCCCACTTCCTGCAAGGTTTGTCTCCCAGTTGATATCAGGATAGTTAAAGTCCCCCATTACTATTGTGGTGTGTTTCCTACATACATTTGTTAGTTGTGTAGCAAAATATTCATCTATATCTTCTGCTTGGTGGGTGGCCTGTAGCAATGTCATTTCCCCCCCTTTTATCAATATAAAAGGATCCCATATGGATTCTAGGAGGTTTTCATCCTTGGTTCTCTGGTTTTCTGTAGAGTTATGGTGATCTTTTATGTGTAATGCAACTCCACCTCCTCTTCTGTTAGGCCTGTTTCTTTTGAACAGTTTGTATCCTTCCATCGGTACATTCCAGTCATGAGCTTCGTCCCACCATCTTTCAGTAATGGCAGCTGTGTCATATCTGCCTTCCTGTACTAATACGTCAAGTTCACCCTGTTTCTGAGCGTTTTTGTGCATAGGCATTTGAGTCCTTTACGGGTCTTGGGTATGTTTCTTTTATCTCCTATTTTGTAACTGAGTTTTCCATTCTTTCCATCACCCTCCATTGTGTTTTTCCGTTTTTTCTTTTTCTTCTTTCTCTTTACTCCCTGCCTCCTTATATGATTGGTTATCTAGTGGAATGAGGTTCTAAAGATCTTGAAGATTGCCCCCCCTCCCCCCCCTCAATTTAAGTTTCAAACCCTTCTGTTGAGATGAGCCAGTCGTTTTCCCAATGTATTCTTTCCAGTTCTTGTGAGGTGCAGTCCACCCCTTGCCAGGAGCCCTTCAGGTAGGTCAGGCAGACCATGGACTAGGAAGACGAAGGTCTCTGGACGGCATCAGTTTTTAGGCCAGTGGTCCGTTTCTAACATCCTTTGCTCCCTCATTGGATATTGACCTTTTGTTGGAAGTGGTTGTACTCCCAATCCTTTAACTTTCTTCCCTAGCTAATCGTAATCTCTTGTTACTCTTTTCAGAATCATTGTTGTATCGTTGGTCCCCCCATGTGTCGGAGAAAAAAGAGGTAGTAATCCGTGGGGTTGATTATTTTAGTACGGTTCTCAGTTACATCTTTGATTTTTGCTCCAGGGAAATAACGTACCTCCCTAGATTGACTGTTCAGTCTGCAGACTATAGTTTCTGTTCCCCAAAAAATTGAATCTCCTCTCAAAATATTCCCCCCCCCCCCCCCCCCCCCAAGGGAAGTCTAGGATACTATTCTTCCTTGGGTTGTGTCTCCTTTTTAGAAACTATTGATGAGTGAAACTCTTTTGTGAGTGTGTGCATGTTTTCTTCTAGGGGGAGGCTATGGAAGTTCCGTTCCAGAAGGGCTTCCCTGGAGTGGACGAGGGTAGATAGTCCAGGCTTCGCTCTTGGTTGCTGTTTTCTTCTAAAAGCGACAGGTTTCCATCCATCTTTCTCTTTAGGTTCATATATA